TTCAGCTAGGATGACGCTGAGAAGAGCTATTGAGGACAGTGCTCACTGAGGGTTTTATGATAAATAGCTTCCCTGCGGGGGGATGCGAGAGCAGGACGACGTATGGGACTTTAGAGCACTCCACCTTCAGGAGGTGCGTGATGCGAGAGAACAGTAGGTATGCCGGAAAGAAGAAAGCTCGAATGTTGCCCTGTCTTGGCTTTCGCTCCCTTTTCTTACGCTTGAACACTGGCTGGAGCGGCTCATTCAGTACTGTGGCCACAAAGCACGCCAGGTTTCAGGCCTCATTTCACCTACAGTTTGCTGAGGCTGTGTTTTGGTTGCAGTGTCTACGATACGGGAGCTCCTTGTTCTGCAGAATTGAGGGGTCAGCAGCTAGGTGGCTGTAGGAGGTACAGTAATCGTTAGGGGGAGAAAGCCACCAAGTCACCTTAATACTTGAGTGATTGAAAAGGCCCAAGGAAATGTTAGAGTCTCAGCGAGCAGCGTTGATTTAGAACTTCCTACGGTGTCATAACAGCCGTTCCTTCTCATGCTGATTGGTAACCAAGTTTCCCAAGAGGCCCTGGGCTGTAATATTAGCCAGGAGTCTTCATATTTTGATGGTACATTTGGCTTCACAGGGGAGGAAATGTCTAGTTTCTGTGTCTAGAAATTAAAGACTGAGGGGTCAGGCATGTTGTGGGACACCCGATTAATTTGAGCCACTCTGGAGATTCATGTAAACCAAATTGGTTCCAGGTTTGAGAGATTACCAGGATTTAGCTGCAGCTTTCTCCAGACAGCCCTGGCTGCCTTTAGCGTCTCTGTTTTTAAGCACTGGTGAAACTGAAGGGGAAAATGACTTCTCCATCCACTGAGCTGGCAGGGTAGCCAGACAAACTCTCCAACCTGCACTACCACAAAGGAAAATAACAGGTGTCAGTGGGCTAACGGAGGGTTCAATCCTCCTGCAATCCCGACTGACACATATAAACTTGGATCCTCAAAGATATTTAGGTGCCTAAGTCCCATTGGCAGTGATCTAGCTAAATACCTCTGAGGATCTGCACCATAGCCCTAGCTCTCCCCAGACTCCCTGGAGTCAGTGGGACTACATGGGGAAGGGGGGACCAGACTGAATCACTGGACCCACATGTACTGCCGGCTGTGGCATGGATCCTGCATGGGGCTGTGCAGGTGAGCTGGGCATGGGGAGAGCACAGCGAGCATCCAGATGCTGAAGCTGAGGTACGTTCCTGCGTAAGCCCCATAAACCCCAGGCTGTTGGAGCCCAGAAATGATTCCCAAACACACGTGAACCCTGCACTTACCTGCTGCCTCTGCGCTCATGAAGCCAAGCGTCTTCTCTGCAGTAATAATGATCCCTAGCTCTTACATGGCGCTTTTTGTCAGTAGAGCTCAAAGCACTTTACCAAGGAGGTCAGTATTATCCCTATTTTACAGCTGGGGAAACGGAACGACTTGTCCAAGGTCACCCAGCAAGCCCATGGCAGAGCCTGGAACATGGCTCCTGAGTCCCAGGACAGTGCGCTATCTACTAGGCAAAACTGCCTGCCTATAAATCGAACTCACAGGGCAGAATCTGCAGTAGAACCAACCTGTTCTCCCCCCCCACAAACAGGCCCAGTCATCACTCCGTGCCCCCAAAATACACAGCACGCGAGCCATCTGGGTTAATGCTGGAGTGCAGAACAGATGGGGAATACATGGAAGCAGGAGTACTTGCAGAGAAGTGGGGCAGGCTTCCAAGGAGAGGAGTGAGGCGTGAGAAACCCCCTTCCCTCCCCCTCCCAAATAAATTACTTGCATACAAGAATCCAACCCAAGAACAGCCAAGCCCTCCCACCCCATCCCTCAGCTCTTTTGTCCAGAGAAGCCAACATTAGGGCCAATGCATTCATGCATTCAGAAAGCAATGATCTGGGAAGCCAATCATTCCTGAAATGGACTCTTACAGTTAGATAAGCATCTGGCTTCCCTGGCGGATACCCCCTGGGTTGCATGGCCTTGGGCAAAAAAAGATCTAGATCTCTATAAACATACCATCCTGTCTCCTAGCTCCTCTTGCACTAACCTGCAAATTGGCCCCATCAGAATTTTCATGCATGACTGGGGGAGACCAAAGTGCAGCCTGATTCCTCTTATCTAGCCAGGCAGCCAGCCTCCCAGCAGGGCAGACAGACTAAAAATACCAGTGTGGCCCTGGCGCTGGGTGGTGGCTTGGGCGACTCCTCCCCCACTGGCAGTTTGACTAGACAGAGGGGTTGATGTTCAGGCCCCAAAGGCCTCTCTTAATCTCCCTGGCTGACAGCTGTGTCTGGCACTCCGCCTCGCAGGCCAATTACAGCTGGATCGAACCCTAAAGCTTTGTAACTTGGCTACCCTACAGCTAAGGGGGAGGGGCGGGCTCCGATACACGCCTTCAATAGCAGAAGGGCAGCAAAGCCCAGGAGGGGGAAAGCCTGTCTGGGGTGGTCTGAGGAGCGATGACTCCATGTGACATCATAAAAATGAGCAATGGGACATCAAGGAGGGTTTCTGAAGCAAACAGTCGATCTGACTGTGAAACAGTTTCCCACAGATGGGTTACACGGAGGCTTAAACAAAGCCTTTGGCAATGATCTGTGGGAATCGAGCCTGCCTTGGCCCTTGGCAAGGGGGAACTTGGTGATTTTCTGTGTGCCTGACTGTGTGCTGTGCACAGTCTCACCAGCAACATACTGGGGGGGGGGGGGGGCGGAAGCAGGCCTCCATACTCTGGTTGGGTGCTCTGTAGAGCCCTCAGCAACAGAGCCAACAAAGGGCCAAGCAGGCCATGGCCTTAGGGTGACCAGATGTCCTGATTTTATAGGGACAGTCCCGATTTTGGGGTCTTTTTCTTATATAGGCTCCTATTACCCCCCATCCCCTGTCCCGATTTTTCACACTTGCTGTCTGGTCACCCTACATGGCCTGCACATATATGTACATATGAAGTCAGTAGGACCAGGCATTGGGTTCTAGTAGATGCAGCCCCCTGCTTAAATTACCCCTAGTGGGAACAGACTTCACCTGAGGGCTGTGCACAGACAAGTTACAGGCTTTTTTTTTTGAAGAAGGAAATATTGGGTGGGTGGGTGGGTGAGAAACTTGTGGCTGATTAATGGGTTCCGAACAACGTGTATGTTTTTGGAAGGGAGAAATAATGTACTTAAGTTAAAAAAAAATCTGTTCTATTTCCAAAGGCCCCTAGAGCATTGGATGGACATATTTGAAAAATCAAAGCCAATAAATATTCATGCAGAGTTCATCCTGTTCAGACTACTGCTGCCACTGAAATAGGGTGGAATCCTGGCTCCATTGAATTTGCCATTAACTTCAATAGGGATTTCACCCTAGCATTTAACACACTGCAGCATGTTCACTTTGCTGCAGCATTTCCTACATTTTGAGTGGGAAATACTGAAAAAGACGACTGTGAAGTTGCTCTACTGCAGTGTGCTAGCTGCTGTGGGGTGTTTCAATGGCAATCTCTTTGTCCTGTGTGTATGTCTATGCAAGGCCCTTTATCCAGAATTTGGCTCAGTGATTCTGGAGCCCAAGTCTATGAATGTATAAAATAAGAGTAAAAAATTAAGAACTGCCAGTCACATAAGTAGTGATATGTTGGGACTTTAAAATTTATTCCAACATGCTATTTTTTTAAAAATATGCTCAGACTGAGCAGACAGTCTTGAGCTGTAGTAAAGGCAATATTATACTTGTAAAAACTTCTCATTCACAGTACAGATGTCATTTACAATAAGGGTCACAAACATCAAATACTGAGTATTTTTTTCCTTTTTTTTTTTTTCTTGTTTTTTTACATCAGACTCTGTGCTTTTTACCTGCATTTTTTTTTCCTTTTTTTTTTTTTTGCACTGATATAACCATACAGACATTGCAAGATGCAAATGTAGAAACTGGAGTTAAAATAAAATTACAGGCAAAACTACCAAATTACATTGTACACTGTACATATATTTACAGTACCTTTTTTGGAATGTATTGCCATTTTTAAGAACATATAGAAACTTTCTACAGACTATTCCACTTACAGAATACATACATCTTTTAGAAAAAAAGGCAAATATGTATCTTACATGAGACCATGTATATTAAATTTGCGTACACATTATTATTATTTTTTACATTACATTTACTAAAGTGATCTTAAGTGCCATCATAGTTCAGTAATGAAAACAAATTGGTTTTATGCCATCAGGACTGATTTGTGTGTGTGTGAATAATTTACAATGTTTTTATTTGTAAATACTGTGCGATAGATGGAATTCTTTTAAAAAAAGAAGACCCGCATGATGAAACCAAGTCAGGAAACGAGAAAGACTGGTGTAAGAACAAGTAAAAGGGCTAGATCAAATTGTACACACACCTTGAGTAAAAATAGTTATAATTACACAGTTTTGTGTGTCAATGTATTTTGTTTAGATGCTGTTTTTGAGGATTTAAAAGAAAAACAAATTAGAAGGGACAAAAGGAATTTAATTAAAACAGGGTTTTTTTGCGGCTTTTCAAGAAGGGGTCGAGGGAAATTAAATACAAAAATATGATTAAATTATAGAGTCTCGATGCCTAAAATTTGGCTCCTTTGGGAGGTCATTCAAAGGCAAGTAGGGCTCTGAGATGCTGAAATACCTTTGAGGCTCTGGGTCAAACTCTCATTGAATTAAATGGGAGTTAGGCCCCAAAATACCTTTGAGGATCAGGGCCTTTACTCCCATTAACTTTTACTGGGCGTTACGAGGCCGAACTGCTATTTGGGTCTGTGACAATCTTCCCCTACACCCAGATTTGGCACCGCAGTAAAGGTGGTCTGATTACTAGAGCTGCTGAGTACCTGCAACTCCTGTCGATTTCAGCAGGATTTGTGAGCACTTAGCATCGCTGAATAGCAGATCCCTTTTGTCTAGGTGTCTAACTATGGCTTTAGGAGCCTAACTTCAGAGACCTATGTCTGAAAACGTTGCCCTGTAAGAACAGGTGATGAACACACATCCCCCAGTTGTAAGCAATAAAGCCACAGCTACTGCATCACTAGGTTTAAGAGTTTCCTGTTGTATTTCTTGGGTATCTAGCAATAAACTGACCATTTATAAATAATTTGGGCTGACAATGATCTGCTGCGAGGTTGCAGGATGTGTCTGGGAGCAGACACCGATAGGGCTCAATCCTGAAAGATGTTGAGCACTCCAGCCCTGATCCAGGAAAGAAGTTCAATATGTGCTTTACCTTTAAGTACATTGAAGTAAATGTGACTATTTGCATGCTTAATGTTAAGCACATGCTTAAGTGCTTTGCTTTATTGGACCAAGGCAGAGTGCTCAACACATTGCATGACTGAGTCCATTGAGAGCAGGGAGAGTCAAATTATTTCATAAGATGGGTCTTTCACTGACAGATTCTCTCATGGACACAGCCAGACCCATTTGCCATTGAGTAGCACCCCAAGCAATGGCTTCCATGGAAAGGGAACATTAGGGGAACATTCAGCAGCTAGATAAAAGGATAACTGGAGCCACGTGAAAAGCCAGCTCTCTGTGGGTCAACATCCAGTACTCCACAGATCACTGGTGCTTCCTGGACCACAGCCAGGAACCTCGGGCATAGATGAAATTCAGGGACTTTAAAAAAAATACTTTTCCACCTGTTTTTTAATTTGTTATTTGTATTATTCATCTCGTTTGTAGCATGGGATACAAAGTGCTTGTGCACATATTAACTGATTCCTCCCCTCCAAAGGTAAATCAGGATTGATGCTCCTCTATTTACTGATGGAGGAATAGACACAAAGCCATAGTAAGAGTTCAAGCCTGCAAACACTTCCCAGCGAGCACAGCACTTACTCCTGGGAGTGCACAAGGTGGAGAGTACGATGCTCGGTAATTGGGACCTGATGTAAACAGGTGCAACTCCACTTAAATCAATGGTGTTGCACCTGTTTACACCTTCTCAGAATATGATCCAGAGGAGTTGAGTGTTTTGCTCAAGGTCACCCTATGATTTACTGGCAGAGCTGGGTTCAGAGTTTGGGTATTTCTGTCCTCTAAACCTGTGCTCAAACCAAGAGACCATCATGCTTTGGTGGGGGGCACTGTTTCCCTTGGAGTTTTGGAGCCAAACTAACATGAGCATTTTGCTCACACATATCGATGTTGTTTTTCTTTTTCTGATCCTAGGTGGCTAATTCTGACCTGCCATAGGCACCTGCTGCACCCAGTAGAGGGAGCATGAGGCAGAATTCCACCCCAATCCTAGCTTCTCCCCGAAAACTACAGGAGATGTGCCACACTGGGAATCCAGGGCAGGCCTGCGGTCTGGGAATTTCTGCCTGTACTCCCCTAGAATTTACAATGGTGCCTGTGTTCACAGATGTACATACATGCATAGAGAGTACAGATTACTCCTGCACACGACCAAAAGAAGAAAAACAACAAAAGCAACAAGCTAAGATATTGAGGGAATTGTGTTTTTCCCTCAGAAGTGACAGAAAAAAAAAAAACAAGCTCTTTCCAATGTGCTGACAGGTCAAGGGTTAAAATATGGTTAAAAAATAAAGCCAAGCAAATTTGATCTAGCCCAAAGTGAACGTCTCATGCACTCAATGTAACTAGATGCTGTGTACAACCACTGCATTATTTCTCTTTATGTACAATTTCAATTATAAAAAAAACAATTCAATACATAAAGCTACCTTGAAATAATGTTAAGAATGTGACAAGGGGAAAGAAAGGAGAGAAGCAGCCATAGCCAGGAAACTCAAAGCTGTATCATTGTGGAGGGAAGGGATGGGTTCAAATGATGCTCATGCACGGGCCCTGATGCCACAGTCCATCCCTGCTCATCACAGCATTTAAACATGTGCTTAATTCCCACTAAGATGAATGGGACGTAACCATGTTTTCCTGAACAGAGATGGTTTGCTGAGTCGGGCCACGGGCCACAATCCTGCAGTGAGATGTGCTTGGGTCTGACTGGAGGATTGGGGGTCAGAGTTATGCAGTGGGGCGGTCGGGGAAAAGGAAAATGAGGTAAAAGTGCTAGTCAGGAATGGAGGGGTCCAGTGAACACTGGTTTAGTTGGTGTCACAATCTTAATGTTATGTCCATGGGATCTTCTTTTGAACTTAATTCCCTTTACACCAAAAGAAAAAATATCACAGAAGTTTATTAAAAACACCTCATATTATTCACCCGTCAGTCGGGAGCAGATTATAGCTCATCAAGTCTGGCAAGGTAATATGTCCTCATTCAGGATTATATTTGATTTATTATTATTTTAAAAAGTGTATTATGTACCCGATAAACTGGACCAGCTCCGAAAGAAGAAAGAACTGGCCCATTGGTTAAATATTTCTATCTTTTTGTTTGTTTGTTTTCTTTAAAAAAAAGTGTTTGTACAGATTCCATTGACTGGAAAGCCCTCTGAAGCAGTAAAGAGCCTGCTGTCTATTAGGGGAAATATGCATTGAACGTTTGTATTTTAAAAAGTGTGTTAACACAACAGAGCAGAATGGCTCCATCACGTCTCTCCGTATTTGGTATCACATCTATTGGCAGTAGAGGCCATCGCTCTGCTAGAGATGGTCATATTTAAAAATATGCTATGAAAAAAGTCACTATGCATGCATAACAGGCCAATTTTCATACATTATCCACTCAGTCATCCGAACCTCTGTCTATGAAATACCAAAAAGGCCCCTCCACACAATGTAGGCTAGGTGTCTGCAACACTTCATTTAAATAAGTAAATAAAATAAAATACGCCCTGGAGCCAGCTGTGGGTTACAAAGCCATAGGTGTGCAAATAAAAGAGCACATGAGCTATTTATTGCATCCCTATAACTTTTTCCTTAAAAAGGGCTCATTGGAATTATTTGGGAAGGCAGGGGCTGTAGAAATATAAATAAAAGTATGGCCAGAAATTGTTTGCAAGGCTGAGATTTTATTTTCATTTTGAACCCAGGAGAGAATGGTGACAGAGGGCTTCTATACCCCAGAAAACGGGGCTTCAGGGTGACACGGGCATGACTCTCACTCCTGCAGTGCAAGCGGCACCACTACCAGACTGAGCCCCAGAAGAGCAGCCAGCCCCGGAATGTCACTATTAAAGCAAGCCTACGAATGGCCCTTTTAAAAACCATTCAACGCCATTCCCAGAACTGGTTCTACATTCGATACATCCTTGTTTTCTTGCAGTTAAATCTTCGAAGAACCCTTTTGTCGCTTTTTTAAAAAGTGCTTTTATGGGTCCTGCAGAAGGGAGGTGCGTTTGAGATTTTTTCTTCTTTTTGGAGTGACCTTTGCATTCATTGCTAATGGGCCTCCCATTCTAAAATAAGTGCTAGTTTCATTTACAATTCAGGGTAAACACATTTTCAAATGTAAAGCAGTCGCAACTGTTTAAAGCACAAAGATAGGCAACCAGAGTGATGCAAGAAAAAAAAAAGCACTTTGCCAAGAATTAAATAAAGCAGGTAATAAATATGAATCATAAACATCTGTACACAGGAGAAAGGGTTTGTTTTTTTAATCATTTAATCAATATTAAAAAAGATTTTTTGTTTTTGTTTTCAGTGCATCTTCTTCCCGCTTAAAATGCTTAACTTTTTCCTTTCTGCATCTCTCGAGGATATATGAACACACACCTAAATGGCAAAAAAGACAAGGTCTAACAAACCCCTTTCCAAAAAACTCTAAAAAAATATTCACAGCCTCAAACATTTTTGTACATTTCAAGCAACAAAAGGTATAGAAAAAGGCACAAGTAACTGCATACATGTGGAGATAATACCAGACTGGGACAAAGAAAACCAAGAATCTTCCATGGGTTTGGTCATACACTAGGAGTGCTTCTTATAGCGATGATTATACTAAAGGAAATAGTGTTGAAAATGTCTGTTGATTTACATAGGAAGCCTAGAGGTGGAAGAGATGAATGGAGGCTTAAGTACTTCCTGTATTCTCATCCACCTGCCTTTGAGTTTGACTGAACCGTGTGCGTTCTAAGTGTGGGCTGCTCTTCCTATGGGTTCCCCCTTGGTGACTTGGCTCTCCCGAGAGGTTCCTTCTCCTAATGGAGAACTGGTGGGAGTGTGAATGGCTCAATGAGGGCTCCGACAAGCAGCCGGTGCTGCTGCTTCTGTCCAACGTCTGTGCGGGGAAATCTGAGATGAAAGTGCAGGATGATTCAAAGTAAGTGCTTGAGCTGCCACATTGCTTCTTGCCCGGTTTTTTCAAGGGTTCTTCCCCGCTTGTTGAAGGCTTTGGAGAGTGCTCATAATTTGTGCTCGGACAGTCGGTGGGAGCTGAGCAGCCTTCTTGCTCTGAGGGGCTGGGCTCAGCGTACTTTTTTACCCTGTATTCCTCCTGTTCTGTCTTTTGCTGATGCTCACTAGTCCTCATTTTCTCTTCTAAGTAGCCGCTGCCTTTAAGCTGTGGGGACAGTGTGTATTTAGAAACCTTCGCAGCTGGGGATACGGATGAAGATTCTTGTGGGACCTGTGGTTCCTTGCCCCTTTCCTCAGCCTGGCTGAATTCTGTAAAGCTGCTGCTGCCATTGCCACCAGGTGAAAAATATCCTGCTTGCAGTGACACAACTGAATTGGGCATCAAACTGGGATGGGTACTTGGCCTGGCCTGGACCATCTGGATGCCCCCAATTGGAATCATAGGATATGGAGTCCTTGTTAGCTGCTGTGAATGCAACGGAAGATGGCTGAAGACATTCTCTTCCCCTCGGCTCGGAGCATGGACATGTAGTTCATGGGATGCTTGCAAGGGTCTGGAGCAGATAGGCTGTGTGATGCCAGGTGAACATGCTGGACTTCGAGGTTCTATCTTCTGCATTTGAGAGAGAAAAAGAGCTGAGTCAGTGAGGGTTATAGCTTCTAAGATCAGCAGTCTACAGTACGAGCAACAACTGACTGGCTTTATCACCGTTCTGTTGGAACGTAAAGGGAATAGAGATGGGCCTGAGCCATGAAATTTGGTTCTGGACTCAACCATTCACAAAGGCTGGTGGGGTACAGATCTAGGGTTTTGATTCAGGCCCATCTCTATGTCAGAACCTTTCCCAAAGCTCCCCCATGAGTTTGAAACAGATCAAAAACATCACAAGAATCATAGACTATCAGGGTTGGAAGGGACCTCAGGAGGTCATCTAGTCCAAACCCCTGCTCAAAGCAGGACCAATTTCCAACTAAATCAGCCCAGCCAGGACTTTGTCAAGCCGGGCCTTAAAAACCTCCAAGGAAGGAGATTCCAGCACCTCCCTAGGTAACGCATTCCAGTGCTTCACCACCCTCCTAGTGAAATAGTGTTTCCTAATATCCAACCTAGACCTCCCACACTGCAACTTGAGACCATTGCTCCTTGTTCTGTCATCTGCCACCACTGAGAACAGCCGAGCTCCATCCTCTTTGGAATCCCCCTTCAGGTAGTTGAAAGCAGCTATCAAATCCCCTCTCATTCTTCTCTTCTGGAGACTAAATAATCCCAGTTCCCTCAGCCTCTCCTCATAAGTCATGTGCTCCAGACCCCTAATCATTTTTGTTGCCCTCTGCTGGACTCTTTCCAATTTTTCCACATCCTTCTTGTAGTGTGGGGCCCAAAACTGGACACAGTACTCCAGATGAGGCCTCACCAATGTCGAATAAAGGGGAACGATCACGTTCCTCGATCTGCTGGCAATGCCCCTACTTATACAGACCAAAATGCCGTTAGCCTTCTTGGCAACAAGAGCACTCTGTTGACTCATATCCAGCTTCTCGTCCACTGTGATCCCTAGGTCCTTTTCTGCAGAACTGCTACCTAGCCATTCGGTCCCTAGTCTGTAGCAGTGCATAGGATTCTTCCGTCCTAAGTGCAGGACTCTGCACTTGTCCTTGTTGAACCTCATCAGGTTTTTTTTGGCCCAATCCTCTAATTTGTCTAGGTCCCTCTGTATCCGATCCCTACCCTCCAGTGTATCTACCACGCCTCCCAGTTTAGTGTCATCTGCAAACTTGCTGAGAGTGCAGTCCACACCATCCTCCAGATCATTAATAAAGATATTAAACAAAACCGGCCTCAGGACTGACCCTTGGGGCACTCCACTTGATACTGGCTGCCAACTAGATATGAAGCCATTGATCACTACCCGTTGAGCCTGACGATCTAGCCAGCTTTCTATCCACCTTACAGTCTATTCATCCAGCCCATACTTCTTTAACTTGGCGGCAAGAATACTGTGGGAGACCGTATCAAAAGCTTTGCTAAAGTCAAGGAATAACACATCCACTGCTTTCCCCTCATCCACAGAGCCAGTTATCTCATCATAGAAGGCAATTAGGTTAGTCAGGCACGACTTCCCCTTGGTGAATCCATGCTGACTGTTCCTGATCACTTTCCTCTCCTCTAAGTGTTTCATAATTGATTCCTTGAGGACCTGCTTCATGATTTTTCCTATATTCTAGTTCTTCAGCTTTTGCCTGGCACTGTGAAGAGCAGTAGAGTGACATTTTTTTAAAAAGAAACCTTAAACCCTAACAATTTCTAAGTACAAAGCAGTGTTTTGGACTGAGTTTGAGTTCTGAGTGATGGACAGGGTCAGGTCTTGTTTTATAGGAACTAATTTGCATGTCCCTAATAATCAATGGTTAAAGACCCTATCATGTTATTTTTTGCCTGCTCATCACTCCATCTCTAGGTTTCACATAGTTTTCTGACCTATGTCATGTCCAGAAATGGGCTACACACAAATGGATTACCAAGGGGATTATTACAGCTAACCACACAGGGCCTCCAAGAGGAAGTGGTGGAATGCTCAACAGATGAGCCTTAAAATTGGGCTGAACGCAGAATTTGAGAATTTACTGCAGGGCACACGCTCCCAGTTATGGTCTGTAGAGAACCAGCTGCTCTCATGATGCTGGTTCTCTGAGAAGAGATTGGAGGCAAAAGGGAAAGTGATAGCAAAAGCAGTCAGTGTAAATAGACAAAATATTTACCATACTGCAGGCAGTTAAACCCCAAACACTTGCCTGAGATCCCTTCTCCAATGTAAGCTATTGCCAGAGTTGCACGGGTCATTTGGGGCCTGTTTACACAACACAGGAAAAACAGAGACGGGCTCTGGCTGGGACTCTTGAAGGGTCCTAGAGCCCGGGCTCCAGGCCGAGCCAGAATGTCTACACAGCAGTGAAACAGCCCCGCAGCCCAAGCCCCATGAGCATGAGTCAGCTGGCATCGACCAGCCAAGAGTTTTTCTTTGCTTGTAGACAGGGCCGGCTCCAGGCACCAGCTTAACAAGCAGGTGTTGGGGCGGCCAAGGGAGAGGGGCGACACCTGCGGCAATTCGGGGGCGGCAGGTCCCTCACTCCCTCTAGGAGCGAAGGACCTGCCTCTGAACTGCCGCCGCCGATCGCAATCATGATCGCGGCTTTTTTTTTTTTTTTTTTTTTTGCATGGGGCGGCAGAAATGCTGGAGCCGGCCCTGTGTGTAGACGTACCTTAGGAGAACACAAAGAGAAGGAGGAGGTGGTCTGTGCAACAGCCAAAGAGGGGAAGTGGTTTTCCACACCACTTATGATTAAATTAAGCCCTATTTGAAGGGTTTAAGTGGTGTGTAGGACCTTGTACCAAGCCTTGCACTGGGGAGAATTTCACCCTGTTTAAATAGGCTGATCTAATCCTGCAGTGGCTAGTCTAAAATGGTTTTTAGATCACTTCCTATGATTCTACGAATCCTTCCTTCCTTCCTTCCTAAAGACTAGAGCACTCACTGAACCTTCACTTCCCATTATTTCTAAGTGTCAGTCACACCAGGGATCTCAGACTATAGGTGACCTGAGAGGGGCAGCTCACTACTGAGGTCACCGACCACCAGGGGGATGATGTTTTCCTAACAAAGGCACGTTGAAATCAGGCCATGCTATACTGTGCTTTATATTGTGACCCTACAGGCTGGGTCAATGTATCTCACTGATTGCTTCCCTATTTAATAGCTCTGCCTGGTCGAACTGTCTTTCTGCAGCACTCTGCTGCTGCATACTCCAAGGCATGACCGTCCAAAAATCCAGATGGTGCAGGAAAGAGCACATAGTGCTAGCTGTAGGCAATGGAGAAATGCTCTGCTCTGTGGCTTTGTGCAGCATCTGTTCCCTCAGATCTATGGATGCTCCTGCCCTACAGCCTCCACTCTCACTTGCTTATCCCTAAAAATAAACATACCAAAGCAAGAGTATGGATATCAGACACCGGCAGACGACAATTCCAAACCAGTTGCTTTAGTATCTTGGCCCAGTCTGTGCGGCAAAAGGACTTAAGTGGAAGGGCCTTTTGCTTCGTGTTTCTTTACATCCACTCCTCATATCTGAAGTCCTACATATGGGGAAACTCTTTGGATTTCAGAGAAGGTTGAATGACATTAGGCAGCAATTCCAGCCTCTGCCTGCCCAGCAAACAGCAGGGAACTCGTAATGGAAGCCTTTCAGGGCAGGGACCACGGCTTGGTATATGGTTGTTCAGAACCTAACACAATGGACACTGATTGTTTCCAGGGCCTCTAGGTTGGACTCTAATAAAAAATATTGTAATCATAACCCTGGGAGAAATGACACAATAGAGCTCCCTGGTTACTCTCTCTCCAGGACTCCAGATCAAACGCCATTCCTTTATAAGTCAAGAATCTGTTTTTCTAATTGATGTCCCTGCAAACACCACTTTGGGTTGGAAAATCCAGCTCTGATCTTTCTGCCTCCTGCATCATCATCAGGAATAAAGATTCTGCCGTGAAAACTCAGCTGACAATCTCAGTGATGACAGGTAAAGCAGAATAGGCTCCCGCTCAATCTCTCATAGCTGCTCTGGTGCTGTAAGTCCAGCGGGAGTGAAAACTTCTGTGTCAGTAAAGCGAGCAGAGGAGACTGGGGGCTGCCCAAAGAGCAGACAAATGGACTAAGAAGGGGTCACTTTTCTGATTATAACCACTCTTCAACGGGACTGGATTATTTACCTCCTTGTTTGCCCAAAGCATCATGAATGACATAGTCAGTTATGTCATTACAGTCTGGGAATCAGGTTTGTCAATTTGCTTAGGCTCTCTGCTGGCTGGAGAGCTACCTCTGCTGTCCTGGATTCTAAGATTTCCAAGGGTGAGACAGGGAGGTTTAGAATCCAGTGTCCCATTCGGGGTCTGTGTGTATAAGTTATATAATAATTGTATGTCTGCTTTCTGCAGCATGAGGATCCATCACAGGAGATTATTTCACAGGGGACTGAAATAGCTGTAAGGTAGGTGAAAATCAGGGCCTAACCCAGTGTTTGAAGTTATAAAGGAAAAGAATAAAACAAACAAACCCCGAGGGAAATCAGTGCCACATCCCTGATAGGGAAAAACCACCGACAAGGAAAAACACGCACTGGGCTATATGGTTTCTATGAGGAATCCCAGGAGAGTTACTATGGCAGAAGTTCTGTAAGGGCTCTCTATCCCCAGAACACTCTCCTCAGGCTCACATCAGTTTCACAGCAACGTAGCTGCACTGATTGACTTCAGTGGGGTTATGCCTGATTTACACCAGTATAACTTAGGTCTTGTTCACACAAGGGCTTTTTTTGGGGGGGAGGGATAGCTCAGTGGTTTTGAGCATTAGCCTGCTAAACCCAGAGTTGTGAGTTCAATCCTTAAGGGGACCATTTAGGGATCTGGAGCAAAAATTGGGGATTGGTCCTGCTTTGAACAGGGGATTGGACTAGATGACCTCCTGAGGTCCCTTCCAACCCTGATATTCTATGCATTCACATCATACAGTTTCAAACTAGGACATTTTTAGTCTGAGCCAGCAGGGTCTACATGGCCTGTTAGTGTGCAACACACTACTGCACACTACAATTTACCCCTCTGCAGTTCAGACTAACACACCACGTAGACAAGCCCTTAGAGGAGATCCAGGCACTTACAGACTTTCTGTGGAGAGATGGCAGTTGCAGTGGAGGTGGGAGATTTCTCTACAAACCGCATGACCTAATTAATCTATATGTATGGGAGAAACACACTAACATCCTTTACATGTAGGATGTGATGTGTCCAGCAGAGGAAGAATTAATTGTTTTTTTGACCCAATGGGGAAAATACCTAGTTGGTCTGAGAAATCGAGTGAGATGAAAAGCCCAAATAAATGTTTCTCAACAGTTAACGTAACGGAGCTGGCTGGAAGTCTAGATGGGATTAGTAACAGCGACAAGACCTTTCACCTTTACTTTTCATGAAAGAAAATCAAAGGATTTACAAAGATGAATAGAAAATATGAACACAGAAGAAGAATTGGAGCTTACCAACTTGGACTCATATAGCTCTGCACTTTTGCCAAGGAACCTGTGAGGTAGAGGCATTGAAGCTAATATTCCATGCTGGACTTTTAATGAGCTTTGAACTTGGTCATCTGCAGCTGATTTGCTACTACAAGGCAAGTCCTCTTTCCCTGGGGATGGATATCTAGAAAGTGACTCTGAACAGACTGGAGGCAACATTTTCTTCAGTGATAAATATCTGACTGACAACATCTCTTTGCTGGGAGACAAATGCCTCACAGGGGAGACCCCCCGCTCTGGTGGGAGGTACGTTCTTGGGGATAACTCTCTTCTTGGGGAAGGGTGCCTTCCGGGTGACAGCTCAAGCCTTGGTGACACACATCTCAGCGGAGATGCCTCCCTTCTTGGCGACATGCGCTGACACGGTGACATCCCTCTTCCTGGAGACAGGCACCGTAGCGAAGACATTTCTCCAGTTGGCGAGAAACGTTTAGGTGAAGTTTCATTTTTGGTTAACAAGTGCTTTCTAGCTAGCATTGGCCTGCTGCCGCCGCCACCACCACCAGAGTCCTTGCCTGGAGACCATTTCTTTCTTGGGGAGGTGTCTTTTGAGGTTGACAGGTCCATAGCTAAGAACATGTGCTGCTTTGTGACAGATTCCCTTTCAGCAGAAGCCAAATGTTCACTGGAGGTCAAAGCTGGCCTATGGAGACTCAAGAAGCTGTGGCAAACAGCAACTTCACTACTGTCTGCTGACCATTGTGTTTCCAGCCCTGAGGAGGTGGTTTGGTGGCCCCTGCCTACTTGCTGGCTGCTGGAGACAATATCTTGTGTTAAAGACAATGCTGCCCCGGTGCATTCCTCTGGAGCAGATGGAGAGCTGCCCGAAGAGTGCATTGGAAGGGAGGTATGTTTCGCTTCTGAAAACTTTAAAGGTGGCTCATCTTGGCTCTCCTCTTCCTCCTCATCTTCATCATCTTCATTGTCATCGTCATCATCAGATTCCTCTAAGTCTGAAAACTGGTGCTCCTCAATAGGCTCGGATCCCTCCCTCCCTTCGGAATCTTGGAATAGGTCTTCACTGGTTCCTGGAAAAAAACAAAATGGGAAAAAATCCATCAAGCATGCAAAATAGACACAAATATATTGAAATAATCAACTTCTGTGTTAAACTCTGAGTGCTCAAAGGAGCTCTGAGTGGACTAGATGAAAAAGGGATATTTTTGCTGTCCAAACCCTTATTATCTTGTGTCTGATGCTTGCAACCTCTTCCTCTCTGACCTTGATGTCTGCAGTCCTCACCCCCCGTCGTTCATTCAAAAGGCTGCTGCTCAAATCACCTTTCTGGCTCATTGCTTGGACCAGCCTCCCATCATTTGCATTCCTCTGCTGGCTGATCCCCACCACCTCAAACACAACCCATTCGCTTTAAGGCCCCTTCACAATTTAGCCCCTCCATAGCTCAGTGACCTATTATTTTGGCATAACACTGACCCCAGCCTCTGCTCGGCCAGCAGCCATCACGTCTGCTGCTCCCTCAAACACCTCCAGGCATTCTCCCGTGCCTCCCATTAGGAATGGGAAAAGCTCGCTGATAAGAGCCACAAAGCCATGACTTTCTCTTCCTTTAAGTCCCTCTTCAAGACTTTTCTCTGCCATGATGCCTACAAAGTTCTAGCAGCTGGCAGTGGCTAGGCAGGTGGAAATCGGACACATCTCTACCAAATGCTGATCTCACTCATCTCCTCACTCCCAGCATTTGCCTGTGGACATAACTAGAGCTGGGTGGATTTTTTGTTTTTAATTCTGTCAACATTTCAAACATCCGAATTGCCCCTTCCCAAACAAACAAAAACCAGGGGAAAAACTGTAAAAAAAAGTCTGTGAATTTTCCCCTCCCCGTTTTTTGCCCAGTTCTAGTCATAACTTAGACGGTGAGCTGTCTGGCGGAGGCCGTTTCTACATCTCTGTCGAATGCCTAGCAGCATAAGGCTCTGGTCCTTAACCTGACACCTAGATGCTGCTGCCAATACCAATAAAATAACTACATGAATAGCACTGAGCCTGTGAGAGGTGCTGGATAAAGCGCACGTTCTAACTGCCATGGGGCTACGGTCACAAAGGAACTTAGACACCTAGAAAATCACCAGGATTCACAAAGCCTGAGTTAGGTGCTGAGGCTTCCTATACAAGGAAGGGAGGCAGATAGGTGCCTAAGACTAGGATCCACCAAAGCCAGCATGCTAGGCAGGGAGCCACCTAAGGGGGGAGGGATGGCTCAGTGGTTAGAGCATTGGCCTGCTAAACCCAGGGTTGTGAGTTCAATCCTTGAGGGGGCCACTTAGGGGACTTGGGTAAAAATCTGTCTGGGGATTGGTCCTGCTTTGAGTAGGGGGTTGGACTAGATGACCTCCTGAGGTCCCTTCCAACCCTGATATTCTATGATTCTAAGCTAGCCAATGAGAGGGGAGTTTGGCATCTAACTCTGGGCTGGAGGGAGGTGCATCCCTCTGCTCGGGATTCTCAACTGTAAGCCCTTGCCCCGAGTCAGGCACCTCAGGAATTTCTTGCAAGACTCTGGGGGGAAGAGGGGTAACACCTTCCTCATAACTTCCAGCCCAGTTGTTAGGGGGAGAAGGAACTGAGCAGGAATATTCACATGTGTGTCAGCCTCACTATCTTCTATTGAAGCGCAGGGCCGGCTCCAGCTTTTCTGCCACCCCAAGCGGCAAAAAAAAAAAAAAAAAAAAACGGTGGCACTTTGGCAGCGGGTCCTCTCTCTCTTCCTCTTTGGCGGCAGTTCGGCGGCAGCGCAAAGAGGAAGAGAGGGAATGAGGGACCCGCTGCCGAATTTCCGCCGAAGACCCGGACGTGCCACCCCGATACCGGATGGAGTGCCACCCCTTTGAATTGGCCGCCCCAAGCACCTGCTTGCTAAGCTGGTGCCTGGAGCCGGCCCTGTTGAAGCGGTTCCACTTTGAATACACAGAGAGTTATCTAAGCACTGGCTCCAGGTGAGAGTTCTACCCAGCAGGCTACAGAGTCATTCTCATGCCTGCTTTTGCTTTCTCTGATCCACACCAGCATATCCCACAGTCCAGTGGCTATGAGAGAGATGGCAGAACCCTCTTCAAATTCCTTTTCCTCATCGGGCAGAGGGGAGACTTGAACCAGGGGTCTCCCACATCCCAGCTGAGTACTCTAACCACTGGGCCTCTCCTCCCCCCCAAAGCCTGTCCCCCCATTTTGTGTGAAGTTAGGCATGCTCTGTGCATGTCTACCATAGTGGGCCGTGCAGGCAAGTTAGGCGCAGGAGCACCTATCTTCCTCGGGTCCATGCACCACACAGGAGCTTAGTGTCTGGGTGCCCAAAGTGAAGCAGCAATGCACATGTCCAGCGGCAGAGACACAGGCGCCTAGGGAACTTTCGCTGCAAAAACGTAGGCTCCAAGGAAGTTTAGGCACCTCCGGGGCTCGGTGGCAGCTAAGGGGGTCTTGTGAATACCACCGGTACCTAAATCTGGGACTTAGTGTCACTATGCTTCTAAATCCCTGCTGCCCTCTGCTAAGAATGTTTTCATCTCTGGGCCATGGCAGTAAAACACGTTGGCAGGAGACAGGAGCTGTTTTCGAAGAGATCCCTAGGAACAGCCACTGGATGTCACTATTGCTCAACCCAAATACAACCCATGCAGGACTTTCCTAGGACAAGCTCTAGGCTATGTGAATATTAACATTCTCAGTTTCTCAGGCTCTTTGTGTGCCAGGCTACGTGAAGAAAATCAGTGTCTCTTTGCTAGTCCATGTTTGCTGACTATCTTCAGTAGGTCTCTCTGTGGTTAGTTCCCAGACACCTGTGTGAACTGACTAACTGCAGGATTCCTGGACTCCTTTTCCACTAGGTTCAGATGAGGACACCCTGTTTCTCACCTGATCAAATCGATGTTAACTGAAACAGCATTTCATTTAATGCTGCCCTCCACCAACCAGTCAGAGCAGCTGGAGAGCTAAGCAGAGCGAAAGGTCAGGCCAGACCACTCCTGACCACACCAGGTGGGTTGTCACCGCTAGAGCTGGCCAAACAATAAGAAGCCGCTCTGATCCATGGATAAAAGACCCCAGTTCAGGTTACTGTGAGTTGTGGGCTCTGATCTGTTGTTTGTAAGTATTCAGCAACTCTCAGGTGCAGTGAAAAAGGGCACGCATTTTAGCACAGATGATTATTCATCCTAAAAAATCATACTGAAAAGTGCATCATTGGTTCTTCTGTTATTTAAAAAGTTTCAGCTGTCCAGTCAGAAAGCAGAAACATTACCATGTGACTTAGGTGACCCGTCACACAATATGTGTAGTGAATAGTCAAAGTGAACAGCTCACAACCATGAGGCTGGCCATTACACGGTGAGACACGAGGGGTAATGAACGTGTTAGCTGAAATCAGGATCTGGCTGTGGATTATTTGCTAATCCTGAAAGGAGCTAAATTCATTACAAGTATTATTCTAAATGAATAGTTCAACCAGCTCCAGTCAGAACCATGTGTATTTCTTGCCCTGAAAGGGAAAACATTTCACAGCCAGATCTAGGAGTTAGTTACTTCCTCTACTCTAACGACTTTATGTTACGGGCAAGCTTAGAACTGGCAGACAGTGGTGGCCAAAGTGCACCCCGCTGTTAGCTTCCAGTCCCTAGGAATCTTCGCGCTGGGCTGTTTGGTTTCCTGGCAGACACAGAATAATAGACAGACACTGACAGTATCCGGTGAGCACAGCACGCTCAGCAGTACAAAGCTAGGGGAAAGCTAATCCATTTCCATGTGGTGGAGTAGTCCACATTTGCCACACAGGAACTATCTGAATGAGTGAAATTTGGAGGAGCCCAAGTGGATTTTGCTGCGCCCTCCTGACATGTTCCCACTGTGCAGAAAGAAAGCTTCAAACTCAGCCAAAGGCCAGAGCATTTCACAAGAGAAATCTGATCCTCCGAACTCAGCGGGCCAGAGAATGGCAGAGGGAAAAGCTGGAAGGGCATTTTATGACAATGTGTCTGGGCAGTGACACATATCAGTGGATGCCTAGAGCATATGGGCTTGATTCTCCACTCTGTATTGCTCGTCGAATTACACCAGGGTAAAATTCATGTGAAAGAGCAGAGGATCGGACCCAGAGTCTCCTTTTATGTAATGGGAAAAGTCCTCTATTTCTCCTGTCCCTTAAATAGAAATAAACCCACAGAACAGAAATAAACACAGCCAGTTTTAGGAATGGATGGCAAAGAGAGTGCAGAGAGTCTTCCTAGAATAGCTCATTGCAAGTGGAAATGGATGGGCAATTGGATGGGCCAGCCCTTGAATGGTTCTGTACTGATCTCCCTCTAAAAGAAGAGGAAGACAGTCTCTGACTACACAGAAAAATGCTCTTTCCGACTCACTGCCCTGCCAGCAATGGAAGCTATGTGATCGTGAGAAAATCTGGGATGTGGGATAGAGCTATGATCTTTAAATTTCATGTGGAGGCAAGTGTTAAGACTTCTCTGCATCCTTCCTCCTCTTCCATCCATCTGTCCATCCCCCAGCACTTACAGGATCGTCCATGATTTTCTAGCCCTTTGCAAGGATGCTAGATTCTGCATTTCTGAGCCTCAGGTCTCTTTAGTCATGACGCAGAATGCGTTAAACTTGGGCAAAAGCCCAGGAATCGTTTGCTTTTACCAAAGAAAAAAACCCCTGAGTTGCTCTGACACCAAGCCTTCCCATTTTCACCTTTACACATTCTTTCCCTGTCCCTTTTACACAAACACAAATGGGAGGAAGCGGAGACTGTATATTTTTTGTAATTCTAAAATTACATGGATTGTCTGCATAATGCAATAACGTCCAGACAGCTCCACATTCCAGCCAGCAGCCGTGCAGCCAACATCAACAAATGGAGGAGGATTCCATTCGGAAAGCTAATGGATTCCTACCCCTGTGCTTTCCTGAGTCTAGGCAGGTCCTTTCCCTCGCCGAGCTTAGCAGGTGTCCAGGAACTGTGTGCTCATTCACAAACAGGCATGGACACATGATTTAATGAGGGGAGAAGAGGCTCGCA